GGGGGGGGGTGTGGTCGCCTGGAGGGACCAGGTACGTGATTCACTGTCCTCCTGTCTCCTCTCTGTAATGTTTATGGGGGGTGGGGGGACTGGACTGTGACTAGTGGACTGTGACTAGTGGACCGTGACTAGTGGACTGACTAGTGGACCGTGACTAGTGGACCGTGACTAGTGGACTGTGACTAGTGGACTGACTAGTGGACTGTGACTAGTGGACTGTGACTAGTGGACCGTGACTAGTGGACTGACTAGTGGACTGACTAGTGGACTGGGACTAGTGGACTGTGACTAGTGGACTGTGACTAGTGGACTGACTAGTGGACTGACTAGTGGACTGACTAGTGGACTGACTAGTGGACCGTGACTAGTGGACCGTGACTAGTGGACTGTGACTAGTGGACTGACTAGTGGACTGTGACTAGTGGACTGTGACTAGTGGACCGTGACTAGTGGACTGACTAGTGGACTGACTAGTGGACTGGGACTAGTGGACTGTGACTAGTGGACTGTGACTAGTGGACTGACTAGTGGACTGACTAGTGGACTGACTAGTGGACTGACTAGTGGACCGTGACTAGTGGACCGTGACTAGTGGACCGTGACTAGTGGACCGTGACTAGTGGACCGTGGCTTCACCAGCGTATTCCCTGTCTTCCCCAGCTCCTGGCCCGCAAGAACGCCCTTTACGAGAGGTCGGCCGAGCGACGACACATGCTGGAACAATCCAACGAGTTCCAGATTTTCGAACGGGATTGTGACGAGACCAAGGGCTGGATCAACGAGAAACTTAAGACAGCTTCGGATGAGAATTATCTGGTATGTCACACTACAGACAAGTTTTGTGGTGTATCTGTCATGTTGTCAGGGTACGTCCTCCAAATGTCTTTGTAGATGGCCCAGCATTCACAACACGTGTCTTTGTTTGGTTGTGCTGAAGCAGCTGGCGTGTCTGATGAATGGCCTGACTGTGTTCTGTGTTTTGTTCTATGTTTTGTTCTGTGGAAGTTGTAGTGTGTCTTGACTGTGTTCTGTGTTTTGTTCTGTGGAAGTTGTGGTGTGTCCTAACTGTGTTCTGTGTTTTGTTCTGTGGAAGTTGTGGTGTGTCCTGACTGTGTTCTGTGTTTTGTTCTGTGGAAGTTGTAGTGTGTCCTGACTGTGTTCTGTGTTTTGTTCTATGTTTTGTTCTGTGTTTTGTTCTGTGTAAGTTGGAGTGCGTGATGGCTGTGGCACCTGATGGTCGTGGCACCTGTGTGCTCACTTATAGTGCGGGTGGCTGGAGGGTGCTCTGCTGTGGTTTGCTCCTTCTTTCCTATCTGATATCTATGGTCCTGATCTCTCTTCTTCCTCTTTTGTGTTTGTTCCTGTCTTGTAATCCCTCTCATCTTGGCCACTTCTATGAGCTTCTTGTAGTGCAAGTCTCTTACAGTCCTAAAACACTTACTCAAAACCAAAAATGCCCTGGACCCAGTCATAGTATTCAACAACTCGATTATTATCTTAATAGGACAACTTTGTACCGATGAGTCATGAGGGTGTACAAGGTGTGTGTACTACACATTGAATTGTCTGTTATAAATCACAAACTGACGTCTGTAAATGGAAGTTGTCATCTGAAGTTTCTTAGTTTGGGGTGTTCTTTTGTCTTGCTTTTAGTGGAAAAAAATACCCGAATATTTTGAATAGAAGAGGAGACAGTTGCAATTGAAGGAGATGGTGGTTGCCTTGTGTCAGATGTAACAGCAGCCAGAACATGAGCCCCC